TATATATATATATAATAAGGCCTATATACACAGAGAATGTTTTATCTTATTAAAAGCCTAATTAATCTAACTTTCTGACGTCATACTTTGAACAAATGACTAAAACAAAAGCAAAGCAGTCTACAGATACAATGAAAAAAAAGATTTTGAAAGCAAAACACGTTCTGCTCTTATGACATTGAACAATCAGATCAACTAAACAAATGTAAGATATCCAGTTTTATTTATATCTCATGGATATCTCAGATATCCAGTTTTATTCATATCTCATCTCATTGTATTACAGCTTGTAAATACATACAATTGAAGATTAAACTGCAATCAGCAAAAGACCTATGGGATGCGGTTGATTCACGAGCTCAGCTCTAACGTTAGTTAGTGGCATTTTATTCAGTATAGACATGCACAGGCGAACAGCACTTACCCATACCTGGTTAATCCATCTATGAACTACAGGGTGAGCGCTAAAGCCCATACTTTTATTCTAGGGCCATCCTTTGTATTACACATTACCGCAGAAACTAAGTTTCTGGTTCAAGTTGTCACTACTCGATCCGTACCGGAAACACGATTTGTACTGCGCATTCTCTGAATGTGACGCCATAGTCCTTCTTTCTTCCTTTACGATCTTTTGTCAGCTCACCCATTCAACACCGCCACCTGGAGGACATCACGAGACTTACCTTCTCTAAATCGAATTTATTCTGCAGAAGCATGCACTTCACGTCTTCACTACAAAACATGTATGGAAAGCCGTTGTAACATTTAATCTATAAGCCGTACTAGTATCTATTTTCCTGGTACTAGTACCTATTTTTTAGATACTAGTATCTTTTCCATTAAGTACTAGTACTTATTCATTAGGTACTCGTGCTTATTCTTTAGCTACTAGTGCTTATTCTTTACGTACTACTGTTTTTTTGTAAAGTTACTAGTACTTATTCATTAGATACTAGTACTTATTTATTAGGTACTAGTACTTATTCATTAGATACTAGTGCTTATTTATTAGGTACTAGTACTTATTCACTAGATACTAGTACTTATTCATTAGGAACTAGTACTTATTCATTAGATACTAGTACTTATTTATTAGGTACTAGTACTTATTCATTAGATACTAGTGCTTATTTATTAGGTACTAGTACTTATTCGTTAGATACTAGTACTTAGATACTAGTACTTATTCAATAGATACTAGTACTTATTTCGATAGTGACTAGTAACTATTATATTGTTACTAGTAAAAAAAAAAGTATTTTTGCCATTGACTTCTATGGGAATCCGTCATTGAGATATCAACTATTCAGTTTTGACTAGTATGTATTCCTCTAGTGACTAGTACTTAATACATGTCTTTCTAACCTATGCAGAGCACATATTTTGGAAACAGATGAGTGTGATCTTAAACATGCAGATATTTGTATGTTTTATAGCAAGTATAGAACATTAAGTGTACAGTAAGAATCTACCACACAAAGACAAACTACAAGACAGACAAATATTATGCTATGATATGTTAAATATTATGCCATTTTTACAGGTTCCTGCATTCAGATATTCATGTACAGTATAACTACAATCAGGTTAAAATAGAAATGAAATGCAGGTCTTGTTGTAGATTTACTTTTCATTAGCAGTAAATATAGGTCTCCACTATTAAACAATATAAAAACTAAATATCCCATATTAGCGAACACTCCATGCTGAATTCACACATTTACACAATAATTTAAACCAAGTACATGATATTTCCTGCATTTACAAGTCAGATGGCAGACGATCTCTTTTCTTTATAAGTTGCCATCATTTTCTTAATTTCTGCTATGGCTTTTCCAGGATTGAGTCCCTAAACAGAAGAGAGGACAGAACAGATTAAATGAAATACAGAAAAAATAGGAGACACAAAACATAAGCTATTGCAAACAAACATTTATTTAAAGGGATAGTCCACCCAAAAATGACAACCAAATGACAACTCAGCTCCCATTGACTTCCACTGTAGTTTTTGTCCATACAATAGAAGTTAATGGGAACTGAAAAAAGTTTGGTTACCAACATCCTTTAAAATATCTTCTTTAATGTTCCAAAGAAGAAAGCAGGTCACACAATTTTGAAATGATGACGATAAGTAAATGACAATTTTTGTCATTGGTGAACTGTCCCTTAATTTCCAATAACAGAGAGTCTAATTCATCCAAGTAAAATGTGGCTTTCCAGTTTGATGGGAAGATGGCATACCTTGGGACATGTCTTTGTACAATTCATTATTGTGTGACAGCGGTAGAGGGAGAAAGGGTCCTGTAATTTGGACAGGCGCTCTTCTATAAAGTCATCACGAGAGTCAATCATCCACCTATACGCCTGAGAATTGGATACAAAACAGCAGAGATGTGAGGCCAAAGATGTAAAACTCACTGTTGATCCAGACTAACGAAGACTAACTGGTAGATTTATTATTGTAAAATTAATTAACAATGATAAATGGCTGTTTATTGTCCATATATAAGCAGTGCTATAAGGAAAATAAATAAATACCTGCGTGAGCACAGCTGGACCAAGGTACTTGTCTCCATTCCACCAGTAACTAGGACAACTAGTGCTGCAGCACGCACACAGAAGGCATTCATACAGACCATCCTATGGAAAAGAGTGTGTTTAAAACACCATTAGCAAAGATCACAATCATCATTCACACTAACAAAATCAGCAGAATATTCAGAAGAGGGTCTCGAACCAGCTTTTGGCGGTCCTCGATTGACTGGAGGTACTGCTCTTTTCCCTGCTTTGACTCATCCTTCTTTTTTAAATATGGCTCGATGGACTTGTACTGTGCAAAAAAGTTGCTCATATCCTAAAACAACAAGAAATAGGAGTGTATGATAAGTTTGAAAATTTGGGTTCATTCTATTTGACAAATAAATACTCATATTATCATATGTTGTCGCTGGGATTTTCAGTTAACTGTGGTTTACTCACAGGGACAAGATCTTTCACAACATACATGCGAGGCAGGGGGTAAATCTTCATCACTTTGCTGGTATTTGTATCTATTTTGTTTAAGCAGGCTAAGGTGTTGCCCCCGTTGATGTTCATAGCACAAGAGCCACAGATACCTGTAAATTATATACAGAGAAATTACATAACATTCTGTCATAATGATGTAACATATTAAAGGAATAGTTCACCCAAAAATGTCAATTTGCTAAAAATGTACTTAGCCTCAGGCCATCCAAGATGTAGATGAGTTTGTTTCTTTATCGGAACAGATTTCACATCACTTCACTTGCTCATCAATGGATCCTCTGCAGTGAATGGGGGCTGTCAGAATGAGAGTTCATACATACAGCTTTTCACTTTACAAGGCATTAATTGATGAACTGGACTCTGGAGTCATGTTGATTACTGTAATGTTTTTAATCAGCGGTTTGGACTCTCGTTCTGATGGCACCCATTCACTGCAGAGGATCCATTGGTGAGCAAGTTATGTAATGCTAAATTTCTCCAAATCTGTTTTGTTGAAGAAACAAACTCATCGACATCTTGAATGGCCTGAAGTTGAGTAAACTTTCAGCAAATGTTCATTTTTGGGTGGACTATTACTTTAACAGGACACAGACTTGATTTTATTTTGTGCTCAAAAGAGTAACATTTATTTATTTTTAATTTTATTTTAATTTTTGTACCCTCTCTACATGAGCGTCTAAAGGTGAGTGTCAGGTCCATTTCATTTTTAATTTTGATGAGAGCATCAAGAACCATTGGACCACATCTAGGATGAGAAAATGTCATTAAAATTTTGTGATATTTACTTCTTAAAAAATAACAGAGGAGACATGAGGATGAAGAAATTCTGACAAATTATTTATTTATTCAAAGCAAGTAAGCACTTATGACTATAACTTCTGTGTAAATATTTGGTGCTTACGTGTTCAAATCAATCATCAATGATGCATATCGCACCAGCGGGGGTAGCGAGAGGAAAGCAAAAGATGAGTTCAACATAAGACAGGCGCTGCTCAATGCTGAGTTTACTGACATTACATAAATAAAACGCATTGCATCCCTCCAACCTTAAGATATATTTGGTAAAATTAAACCAGATGACTCTATATTATTTTCATGGCTTTGTCGAGTAACTAAATACAGTAATATGCCACTGTCTTTTTATCCAAGGGGTCTTTGGTCTGAAAAAAAATGAAGCCACTGGTATTCACTTTTTTTTTTTTTTTTTTTTTTACAGCGCCACCTCTAGGTGTAACAGAGAAGTGTGCGGGAGTTATATCATCTTGTTACTCAACTCACATTGGTAGGCTATGTAATGTACAATTGAGTTTCAATATCACTCTTCCATACTAGAATGTCAGTTTAATTAGAAAAAAATGTTACATTTATGTAATCCGATGAAGCCGATGTTTTTATACGCTGCGCAACAGCGGTTAAGTAACAGGAGTAAACAACCCTTGATCTGTCAGCTAACCAGCTCAGTCAACAATTCACTTGGTAAATTCCTTATAACGAGAACTTCCTTATAAATCACGATGGTCTCAAACATTTTCACATAATCACCTTACACACGCATAAGATGCTGACAGATGCGAATTCGTATACACAACTTACCACCAACGTCCTACAGTTGCGAAAAGCCACTGCGCTGCGAGTAAAAGAAATGCAAGCGAACATCTTCCTACGGTGGCCGAGAAGTGCTAAACAAATCACAATTCTGAAAACAAAATAACAAATTACAAACGCAAATGCAAGTCTAAAAAACAAAATAACAATTCAGAAAGCACAACAACGATTCAGAAAACATTATAACAAGTCAGAAAACACAATGACAAATTTGAAAACAAAATAACAAGTCAGAAAACACGACAAATCCGAAAAAAAATTAACAAGTCAGAAAACACAACGACAAATCAGACAAACCGGAAGAGGTAGGTATAGTTTGAGACAGCGCCATTGGTTTGGGATTACTCACCGCTGACTGGACGAGACATCTGTCAATCAACCTATACAGGGAAGAACCAGCCAAAGAACAGCAGAGTCCTGGTAGAAAGTTTGGAGATGGTATTAAAGTAGCTCAGTTTAAATGTATTGTATGAATTGCCCTGACTATGGAATAAAAAATACGGGGTGTCTATTTACATTTAGTTAAAAGTGGATGAAAATCATCAACTCCAGTGGCGCAGATGGATAAGTGTGTGCCCTTGGCTTTTTGAAAAGGGAGGGAAAAAAAAGTTCTGCAAAAGACGGGATCGAGCCCGGGTCGATCGCGTCAAAAAGCCAGCAACACGTACTTATTCATCTGCGCCACTGGAGTTGATGATTTTCAGCCACTTTTAACTAAATGTAAATAGACACCCCGTATTTTTTTCCATAGTAAGGGCAATTCATACAATACATTTAAACTGAGCTACTTTAATACCATCTCCGAACTTTCTACCAGGACTCTGCTGTTCTTTGGCTGGTTCTTCCCTGTATAGGTTGATTGACAGATGTCTCGTCCAGTCAGCGGTGAGTAATCCCAAACCAATGGCGCTGTCTCAAACTATACCTACCTCTTCCTGTTTGTCTGATTTGTCGTTGTGTTTTCTGACTTGTTAATTTTTTTTCGGATTTGTCGCTGTGTTTTCTGACTTGTTATTTTGTTTTCGAATTTGTTATTGTGTTTTCTGACTTGTTATAATGTTTTCTGAATTGTTGTTGTGATTTCTGAATTGTTATTTTGTTTTTTATACTTGCATTTGCGTTTGTAATTTGTTATTTTGTTTTCAGAATTGTGATTTGTTTAGCACTTCTCGGCCACCGTATCTTTCAATTGTGTTGTTAGGTAGAAGTTTCTTTAGTCGCGAGCGGCTTCAACAGTTTCTCAGATATGTAAGGTGTCATCTGCTCCTCTCCTCCTCCTAATGCCAGCTGGGCGTGAATTTGTCCTCCGTCAATAAAGAGCGACAAGAAGACTCGTATGCAACTATACATGAAGCTGAAGCCTCTTTCAGGGATACCACGGTTATGGGAAGCTTGGAAACAATGTGGAAACATTATGGTTTCCAGGCATGGGAAAGTCATGAAAATTAATACATTTGTAAATGGGGATTTTTTATTTTTTTGTTTTTAGTTAATCAGCTCTTTTTGCTTATATAAAAAATAATAAAAAGATAAATACCTTAATTTTATTATTTTTTATGTTATACATTTCATGTGAGATCCCCCATGACTTTAACTATGAAAAAATAAACTGTTCTGGAAACAGCGGTTGATATTGAAAATCCATATGAAAAATCATAAGCAGATGCAAAGGCCACAATCTGTATATCTTATGATATGAGGATCAACACCAAAGGTCAGGTTTCGCACAGTAAAAACCTAAACAGCCCTAAACATTAATAGGCATAATTAAACTAAACAGAACTATAGCATAAATTTACCATAATGCTGCATATTTCGGAGACTTTATCATAATAGTTATGAAACGTCTGACATCTTTATTCTTCGTTATTCAGAAATTGATTACATTTAGAGAAATAGTCATATGTGCCATGCAGGTCAAAACTTCAAATCATTTTTGGGGGAAATATTCCTTTAAGAATACTCATTTAGGCTATACAGATATTCATATATATACCTGATTAAAACCCAACTATTTTGAGCCCTGTGATGTGGTTCATTTTATCTTAGTATTTTGTTGTTTAACCTGTCTGAAAACATTAGTGCAAACAATTATTCAGGTTTTTGCTGAAAAAACCCCTCGTCACTTTAGAAGGGAAAACAGGGTAGAAAGCATTTTAAAACACCTTTGACAGCATTTTAAGATAAACCCATAGGAACAGAGCACAATGACATAGCAGTCTGCTGTCTTTAGAAGCTCAGCCACTTTGCCATGCATGGCTATAACAGCGGAAAACTGGCCTACATGTATTTAATCTTATAGTTTCGGAGATGCGAATCGATCTTGAGTGAGGTTTTCCTCGCTAGTTTGAGAGACATCAAGAATTACAGTTGAAGGAGCATTAAAACATCCCTTCAAGGTAAAACAGGAGTGGTGTTCATCAGTCTTGTCTCATTTCCAGAGATCTGCAGCGACTCCTGGATCAAAAGCAATCTTATTCAGGCCTCAAGTGGAGTAGTCCATGTTTATCTGTCAAGTGAGTCCCACTTCTGCCAGAAGAGCTTCTAATAAATCCCTTTGACCTTATGAGTCACTGTAGGGTATATTGAGGCAAATTGGAAAGGATTTTATTTAAATCCGTCATTGTCCTCAGTCAAGTTAAACAATTCAGATATTTCATTTCCCATCCAAAACGGAGCACATTTATAGCCTAATGTGGTTTAATGTCAGTCACTGTAAATCAAGGTCAAATATAAATATCGAATGTGTTTGAAAAAAGTCTCTTATGCTCACCAAGGCTGCATTTATTTGAAAAATACTACAAAAACAGTAATGTTATTACAAGAACTGTTGTAGTCTAATGTATTTTAAAATGTAATTTATTCCTGTGATGGCAAAGCTGAATTCTCAGCAGTCGTTACTCCAGTCTTCCTTTAGAAATCATTTGAATATGCTGATTTGGTGCTCAATTATAATCAATTATTACTGGTGGTCAAATACTAATGATGGTTCTTATTATTATTATCTTATATTATTGCTTGAGCGCCAAATCAGCATATTAGAATAATTTCTGAAAGATCACGTGACACTGAAGACTGGATCAATGATGCGGAAAATTAAGCTTTGCCATCAAAGAAATAAATTTCAATTTAAAATATATTAAAATAGAAAACAGTTATTTTAAATTGTAATAATATTTCACAATTCTGTTTTACTGCACTTTTAATCATATAAATTCAGCCTTGGTGAGCATAACGTTGATATATCTTTCAAAAACATTAAAACATCTGGTCATATCAGTCATATTATATCAATATCGTATCATATCAGTTGTTCTTAAGAGAACGTATCAAAGTGTCTATCACTTCCTCATACTAATTTTTTCCACCTAATACAGCATTAGAACTGTTTTAAACACAGCATGTTATCATTCGACAGCGACAGGTATGTCATTTCGACAGGTTTTGGTTGCTATTAGTGGTGTCAAAATTAGCGCGTTAACGCAGGCGATTAATTTTTTCAGTATAAAAATATTTAACGCAATTCACGCAGGGGCGGGGCTAGGGTTGGCCACCCCATTCACAACTGCTGCTTCGGTCATTTTTTCTCTTGACAAGTAGTTCATTTATTGAGTCGCAGAACGACTGAAAACGGGAGACGTTTCAGACGCGCGCTACACTTCGCTTCAGCGCCAGGCGCGAGTCAAACGAGTGCGGAAACGGTACTGTGCTTGCAGCGCGTGCTCTTCAATTGCACACACAAAGGCGCCGGTGTTCTGACGATTTGTGCTACCCTGTCAGATTTTGCTACCTCCCATTAAAACAGATGGTAGCATAATTCGATAGCGAAAAGTGCTACCTATCAGATTTTGCTTCCAGCATGATATTAATAAGGTGTGAGGCGTTATTAACATGTAGCTACGTGGCCAAAAGTATTGGCAGTGACATAAATTTTGTTTTGCAAAATGTGCTGCTTAAGTTGTTGTGGTGTTCATTCACATTGTTTCTAGATTATGTCACTGCCAATACTTGTAGAAACAATGTGAATGAACACCACAACA